TCGGCCAGGGTCCAGCCCAGGGCAGTGAATCCAACCGGCCTGCACTCCATCTCATATGGGAGAGCCGTGTTCACTCTGATCGTTTTACACCAGGTGGGTGTGAGCAGCTGCTCAGCGTGGGAGCGAGTGGGCGCCGGAGGGCTTGGTGATCGACAGGTGGTGGCGTCATCTGCTGCTGATGCCAACCGCAAAGCCGGGAGAGGCGAGGCCGCCGGGTGTGGTGGGATCCGGCAGGGTCCTCTGGGCTCTTCTCCTGAGGGTGACACACAGCGGGTGGAACCTCCCCCAGGCCCCTTCTCCCAGGCGCTGCTGTAGCGTCGGCCCTGACAGCATGGGCTCATCACGGCTTTGCTGAATGAGTGAATCAGCCTGGCCTTGCCACATGGGCCGTGTTGTATGTTGTGAGTCAAGAGGCCGTGGGGGTGGGGACAGGCGTGCTTCTGTCAGCGGTGCTCAGCGCCATCCAGGGCCTGCAGCCCCGGGGCGGGAGGTGAGCCTTCACTGTCGGCTGAACTGCAAGGGCTGACATCTGTCAGGTTACATGGAGGGGCCTCCTCAGTGCCGAAAAGTGACCCCTTCTGCAGAGGGAAGGGGCAGACGTGGTGACGCACCAGGTGCCTCCTGGCTGCCTCTTTTGCAGAACCTCTGGGATGCGTCCCTCTTCCTGGTTGCCTCCAGCAAGAGCACTGTCCCCTTCCTGACTGTCCCCGTCTCTGTGGCGCCCTCCCCACTGTCGGCTCCTGGCGGCTGCGCAGGGTCTGCCGAGCCCCCTGGGCCTTTGTCTCACAGGCCGTGGGCTGGTGGCCGGGCAGCAGGCACGTGGCCTGGATTCCAGGCCTCCGGCCTCGTTTCACTGCCCTGTTCCTCCTCCTCCTGACCACGCCTCGGCACTCGTGCATCTGCTCCTGCATCCAAGGCCATCCCAGGCTGCACTCCTGGAGTCCCTGCTGTGTGCTGTCCTGGTCACAGCCGCCAGGGCTGATGTGTCGGGAGCTTGTGTGGTGCTCACGGTGGGCACACAACTGCTTCATGAGTATCACATGCATTCGCTAGCTGCCTCTTCCTAACAGCTCCATAGGAGGCAGCTTCAGCCCTGGACTCCAGCCCCTGAGTCTCTGGCCCGAGATCATGCCTGTGACATGGCTCGCAGGCAGGGAGAGCGCTGTCTGGACATGCGGTGAGTCAGCAGCAGCTGCTTGTTGTATGGAGCCCTGGCCTAGCTGCCTGCACTTGGAGCCCACAGTCCTGGCGCAGAGTGACGTGATAACTCTCCTTGGTTGACAACCAGGAAACGTCATCACAAACCAGTGGTTTTCAAAGTCTCTTTTGGCGAGAGTTGTGCCTCCATAGTCAGCTGACAGGTGTTGGCGCTGTGGGGTTGCTCAGCTCACGGGGACAGGTGCTGCTTCCAGGCCGGACGTTGGCTAAGTGTGTGAAGCTGTTTTCATCCATGCCAGTGTGACGAGCGAGCTGTGGTTTCCGGAAAGGCCCCACTTCCACAATGCTGCTCTGCACGTTCCTGAGGGCACCGCTTTGGCTTTTCGTCCCGTTTCTTGGAAAAGCTCAACAAGAGAAGAACTAGCACAGAAGGGGCTGTGATGTCTGGGCGATGCCAGCTGAGTGTGCCTGGGGCGGGGCCTCTGTGCCCTCTGCGTGAGCCCTGGGTTTGTAGATTCTTATGCCGAGGTGTGAAATCTCACATGGAGATGGCCTCAGGCCTGACTGGCTTCAACAGCCCTGCTGCTCACGTCCCATGCCGGGTGCAGTGTGGTCACTGTGTGTCCCTGCTGCGCCTGTGCCCGCCACTCCTGCCTGCCCCTCAGACTGTCACTGGAGGGTGAGACTGAGCCACGTGCACAGACCTCGGGGGAGGTTTCTGGGTGTTGTCCTTGCTGTGCTGGGTCCTCTGCTCCCAGGGCCCCACTTGAGAAAGACATGGAGCGTGTTTGGCTGTCCATCTGCACGTGTGTGCATGTGGTCACCGTGTGCCTAGTGTGTGGGGACACAGACTGCTTGCGTTGTGGTGAAATGCAGGGCTGGACCGAGCGCGGAGTCTCAGGGTGAGCAGTTCCTTGCTGCCAGGAAAGGTGCCTGTGCGCAAGCAGCACCTCACGAGTGACCACTAGATGGCGCTCTGACAGAGGACATCTCTGGAGACTGGACGGGATTCCGGAAGGTCTTCAGCCTGGTCTCTCACCTGTATGGACTAGAGGTGGCTTCTGGGTGTCTCCTGGGCAGTGGCGGACAGTACACAGCGGGCCCCTGGCCTCGTGGGCAGCAGTGTGCCCTGGAGTGCCTCTGCAGCATGGCACCAGCAGTGTTGGGTCACAGGTCAAGCTCAGTGTGTGGCTGGCAAGCACAGCATTTCCACGGGCTCCGCGTCCATTTCTGGATGATGAGGGACTTGGGATCACATCACTGGTGCCGTGAGAGCAGCACGGGCACTGGAAATCTGAGGTCGGACCCCTCAGAGTCCCACACGTGGCCTCTCACCGGTGAGGGCCCTTTCATTAAACGAGCCTGCAGCTTGCTGCCCAATCAGGGCACACGGGGCTCGGCTGTGGGGCTATGCCAGCTACAGGCTATTGAACACATGTGAGACCTCACTCCATCACTGGGGAGCCAGATGCCAGCACAGACGTTCCTGGATCTCAGCCTCTACCAGCCCTGCTGTTGCCTTTGTCCTGCCTTTGTCCGTGGTGCACCCTCCCAGAAGTCCCTGCTGGTGTTCCATGCAAATGTGCACATTCCCCAAGCCTCTGTGATGCTGGGCCCGGGGAGGCTGCACGGCCATTCCATGTTCCAGGTCTCCAGAGAAAGCAGCCACACGGGGCAGCCTGGAGGAGGGGGAGTGGGCTCCAGATCTCTGCGGAGTGGTAGTACTGGAGAGACAGGTCCAGTTACCACTTCTGGGGCATACAGGCTGTGAGCCTGCTTCCCTGGGCAGTGACCAGCCGGCTTGCAGGGTGTGGAGGAGAGGTGGGGACGGCAGCACTGGGAATGGGCCTGTGAGGAGCCCAGCACTGAGGCCACTCAGGAAGAGGATGCACCATTGTGTCGTCACCCGTGCTGTGATCTCCGCGGCACGTGAAGGCGTGCACACGCATCTGTCCAAGGAGTGCTCGAAGGGGTCTGTGCTGTGGGCCCTGCTGATGCTGTATGGCCCAAGGCTCCCCAGACAAGGCAGTGCAGAGGGCAGAAGTGCGAAGCCAAAACTGCCCCTGGGGCTGACACACTGAAGGGGACCAGGCCTGAGGCCGGCCGGCCCCCATGTGCCAGGACCGTGCCTGTGAGTTTCCAGCATGCAGAAACTTCACACTCATACGTGTTCTGACACAGCCCACACCAGCAGGGCTCACGTGGCCCTGCCCACGCAGGCACAGGTGGGAACACTTCCCTCCTCACCAGTCAGCAGCTGCACAGGTTCCTCCCTTAGCCCCTCCCTCCCTGCTCTTCCAGGGTTCAGGTGGGCAGGACTGGACAGGACTGTGTGGAGGACCAGGCAGGACAAGGCACAGGGAGGTGTGTGGACGTGGGAGGGGAAAGCTGCGGGTCCCCCGACCACCTTGGGGGCTTGGCCGCCCAACGCAGGCTGTTCCTCTGCAGCTCTGGGTCTGCCTTTCCCACCCTGTGGCCCAGCACTAGTTCTGCTTTTCTCCTCACCGATAGTGTGGGCTTCAGAAAGTGAGCTTATTTGGGAGAAGGGGGCCGGATGCTCCCTCTGTTAGGGGGCCCAGAACTTGCCATCAAGGCCCCGCAATATGCGGCCCTCCCAACCCACCCAAAAGCCGCCCAGAAGGTCCCATAGGAGAGCAAGTGCAGAAGCTGACGGATCTGGCACCCACCTCTCCCTCGGGACCTTCAAGACGCTAAGTTGGAAGACGGGGTGAGCGCACTGCCCCCGTGGAAGTCCCCGCTCGTGTTCCTGGAGCCTGGGAGGAGTGGACGAACCCCGGGCGCGGCGCTCGCGCCCCGACTCCGCCAGGTCGCCGTGCTAGGACGGGCGTCAGAAACCCCGCTCTGCAGCCACGAGCCGAGAGCGCGCGCGTGTGCGCCCCCGCGGCCCGCTCCGCTGCGGAGACTGCGCCGCGCCGCCGGCTGCGCCCGCCCAGCGGCTCAGTTCTTCTCAGCCAAGGCGACCCCTCCTTGGGCCTCTGCAGAGGCGGCCGCTACCCCGGCCGCACCAGTCACTGGGCAGCCGCCTCCGCGCGCAGGAGCCGCCTCCGCCGCGCGCGCCGTGCGCCCCTGCGCTGAGCTCGCCTTCGCTCGCTCGCTCGCCCGCCCGCCCGCCGCCCCTGCGCCCGCGCCAGAGGCGCCGCCGGCGGAGAGGAAGGCTGAGGAGGGGAGCCAAGTCGCCGGCCCGGGCCGCACCTGTTCCTCCGGGCGCCGAGGTCCCGGCCCTGCTGCCCCGCGCGAGGGACGGGCGGGGCTGCCCGGCTTCACTGCCTCTGGACGTGGCTCAACTTCTTTCTCAGGCGCAGGAGCCGGGAAGGCGGTCGTCCCTCTCCGGTGGGATCGACCCCTTATTTGGATATTTGGGCGTTGCGGTTCACGCAGGAAGCTCGGCGGCGTGCTCCCCTCCCAGCCTCGCCAACCTTCGCATGCGCCGGCGCCGGCAGCCGCAGGCACCGGGCCTCGGCCGTGGAATTTCTCAGATGGACTCGCCCTAGCCGCGGCCTCGGCTTTTTCTTTCCTCTTCCAAGTTCTTTTGTTTTCGCCCCTCCCCCACCGCACGTCGCCTTCTCTCGGACCCAGGCGCCGCGCCCGCCCCAGCTGAGCGGGTGCTGAGTGCAGCCCGCCCCGCGCTCCCAGCTTCGGCCAGAGCTCCATCGCCATCCGCGCGCCGCTCGCTGCGCCCTGCTCCCCAGCCCGGAGCGGCGCCCAGCGTTCGACGGCGGGCGGCGGGGCCGCAGGAGCCACGGCTGAGGCGCCGCGCGCGCCTGCTGCCTCTGCCTGCGCCGGCCGCCGTCACCTGTGTATCTCTTCTGTTTGAACTTCAGGATGGCTCGCTTCGGGGAGGCGGCGGCCGGCAGGCCTGCCTCAGGCGAGGGAGATTCGGACCAGGGCAGGAACCTGCCAGGAACGCCCGTGCCGGCCTCGGGGTCCGCGGCCGCCTACAAGCAGTCGAAGGCGCAGAGGGCGCGCACCATGGCCCTGTACAACCCCATTCCCGTCCGGCAGAACTGCTTCACGGTGAACAGATCCCTGTTCATCTTTGGAGAAGACAACATTGTCAGGAAGTACGCCAAGAAGCTCATCGACTGGCCATATCCTTTCTTCCCCCAGCCCCTGTCTCCCCGGCCTTCCTCCTGGGGAGGGGCGTCTGCCGCGGGATGCCTTGCCCACGTACCTCTGGGCTCCAGCTGGTGCCTCTGCTGGAGTTACGGCTCAGGGGCAAGCCTGGGCACTTGCGTTCCTGAAGGTAAGACTTTGGCTTTCTGCTTTTTCCTGTGTGGAGACCCCTAGTGTCCCTGGGGTGCCTGGTGCTGTGTTTCTGCCCTTTTGTGGGCTTGGTTCCCACCCACCCCCCCCCCCACACAAACCAAGCCCCTCTCCAGGCTGCCTTCCTCAAAGCTTGAACCCTCTCTCATCTCAAGGCTTTCTTTGATAATCGGCGTGCCTTTTCCTGTCTCAAGTCAGCCCCTCTGTCCCATCCCCTCCAGCTGGGGAGTGACCTGTGCTGTCGGCCTTTGGGGAAGTTGAGGCTCCAGAGGGTTGGATCTGTTCAGAAGCCCCCAGAGCTTGGCCTGCAGCCCTGTGCATGCGCTGGCAGCTGGGGCCCAGTGGGCTCCGGGACCAAGTTCCAGCTGTGCTGAAAGCGGCGGGTGCTGTGGGAAAGGCTGTGCCGCAGGCTTCGGGTGCTAGCCGCTCCGGGTGGGGCTCATCTGTGTTCTAGGCCCCCTCTGCATGGCCTTGAGCTGGGTCCTCCTGCCCTTAGGAGCCTGGCTGCTGTCCCCACTCCCAGGGGCCTGCGCTTGTCAGCGGAGGGAGAGGGGTGCCAGCCACCTGTCTCCAGCTGCAGAGGAGTTGCTCTCCACCAGGAGCTGGTAGGGGCGTCTGAGGGAGGGGGTGGCGGGGTGAGGGGGCCTGCAGGGGTCTTCTCTGTGGGCTTGGTCAAGTGCACCCGGTACAGGTGCTTCCCCGCCTTGTTCTTCACTAAGAATCTGGGTGCCTGGCACAGCCCTTGGGGCTTGGGGGTGGGGTGGGAGGCGATTGGGTGGAGTGGTGTTAAGGACAGTGGCTCAGGGCCAAGGCCTGGGATGCTTGTGGAGGGAGGTTTCTTGGGAACAAGCCCCTACCAGGAGGCCCCTCCTCGTACCCCACCCCACCCCCAAACCCCGATCCTCCCGAGGTGCAGCAGAGAGACGGCTAGAACTGCACGGGTCTCTGGTGTCAGCCAGGCACGTGGCTTGCTTCCCCCAGGGCCTGGGCACCTCCCTCCTCCCCCGCCCTGCTCTGGCCTTCTCTGCTTCCCTCCTCCCTGGCTCCCTGCTCCAGCCGCATGGTGATTGGCTGGTGCGTGGTGCTTCCAGGGAGCATCTCTACGCAGATCTTCCTGCTGCGGTTTGCACCCTCCCACCGGCACCCCTGGCTGCGCTTCTCCTCCTCTCCTGCTTCCTGTGCCGCCCCCTCCCCCAGAGTGATCCCAGGCCCTGCAGTGCCTGAGTCTTCTGTAGGTTGGGGGCCAGGGTGGGGGAGAGATCCGGTCCCTGCAGCCGTGCCTGCTGTGCCCACAAAGGGCAGAAGTGCCCCTCCTGGTGCCGCTGTGGCCCGCAGATCCCTCCCCCAGGAGGTCTCTGCCGCTGGCCCAGCCGCCCGCCCGCCCCTTCCGCATTTCTGCTCTAAACCCTCTCCCCCGCCCCTGTTCATTCAGTCAGGCACTCCTTCTCCCCTGCAGATAGAGCCACTGGGTGGCCGGGGTGCAGCGGCTATCAGCACCTCGGACAGCGCCATCGACCTGCCGTGTGGGCACCTCCACAGGCAGGCTGGGGTTCCCGGCGGGGGAGGGGGGGGGGGCAAGTCGCTGTGTTCCCTGCTGCCCAGGGCTGCCTCTTTCTGTGTTTCTCTGTCTTGCTGCAAATGCTGCCTCTCCCCAGGTGCAACTGGTGCCCAGCTGTGCGTCTTACAGAGGGAGTCCAAGGAGAGGCACAGGAGGGGTTGACTTCAGCTTCAGGCTTGGGGCCTTGGCTGCAAGCCCCGTCCCCCTGGTCTCGTCAGGCCCTGTGGCTGGGCTTGACACAGGTTCTGCAGCGTGGAGCCTTGTACCTGTGCCGTGTTGGGTTTGCTTTCTTCTTCTGGCTGTGCATGGTAACTGACCAATGCATTCCCTCTGGTGGTGACCGCGTGGAAACGCGTGTGGCCGTGGCCTCTGCCTGCCTCTAGAACCGCATGCAGGTTCCTGCTCTCCCTCTGGTCTTTTGAAACACTTTGCCTTCTCTTACTGTCCCATCAGTGGGTACCATGAAGCTTGAGTTGGGCTGCCTGTGCTCAGACACAGTTCTTCACCACCTATGACTTGCTTCCTCCTCCGTAATAGGAGGTTAACAATGAGTTCCTGGGAGAATTAGGTGAGTCAATCTAGAATGGGTGGAAAACCCTTCTTTGGTCAAGATCTGTTTGGATGTTTATAACATCATTCACGGGCCAAATGAAATTATTAGTCTAAGAATTAGCCTGCTGTAGAAGTATCGACTTTGAGTCCTGCCTGTGGCTGCCTTGGCAATACTGATCAAATGGCTATGCAGGCCTCATGTGGCCTGCAGACCGGATGACCTCTACCCCAGCTCTGGAACACCATCTGGTCATCTAGCACACACTGGCCATTCGTGATCATGGGCTCCTTCCAGAGGGAGGGGCTCTGCTCAAGGCCAGGTGTCTGGGTTCGTCACAGAGAGCCAGGAGCTGCATCCATCACCTGTCGGAGTCCTGAGCACACCCAGACTTGTAGAGTCAGGACCTGCACTCATCACCAGGCCCCTGGGGGTCAGCGTGCACGCCACAGTGTGGGACTCGCCTGTTCTCGGTAAGGCCAGATGGAGGGATGCTGGAAAACACGGCAGGACCCTCCTTGCTGCTCACGTAGGCACGCCGGAGAGGCTTGTGCCCATGGCTGCGGCAGCACTCGAGATGCCCCGAGGCACCGGGAGAACGCACGCTCTGTGTGCAGGCCTGTGCCTCATCTTGAACCCTGTGGGTCTGAGGAGGTGGATGAGGTACAAGGATGGTATAAGTGATGCCTGTGGGGCTGGCTCTCCAGTTATTAACAGGGGTTATGAGAAGAAACGCCTGGGACGGCCTGTGTTGGCACCCACGCTGCACGTGTTTCGTTTTCCTTGGAAGCTGCATCTTCATGGGGAGGTAATTTTATTTTCTTGTGGTGCTCTTCTCTACAGTGGGTACCGTAACCTTTAGAAAATGCTAATCTGACTTATAATGTGGCATTACATTTTTTCCGGTCCCTTTTACATCTTGCTCATCCAGTAGAGCCAACAAAAGAACTTTGTTCGCAGGCAGCAGGCTGTCCAGTGCTGCCCTGCTCACTGCCACGAGCTTCCTCGTGTCTGTACTCGTGCACAGTGGTCCTGTGGACGCGGGGGTCTCTGTGTTTGCTTTCCCAGGCAGGCAGTGAAGGGGAGTAGCCTGAGGTTTGACGGCTTTGAGACTTGGGTAGCTGCAGGCCGTGTCCCTGCTCTTTGGGTCATCCCAGCTGGGAGCAGGTGTTCCGTGTGGAAGTGGAGCTGTGTCTGCAGCCATGGGTGGGGGCAGTGCAGGGCCCCGTCGAGGACCCCTGCTGCAGAGAGTTCCCTTGTAGCCCCAGAGCCCTCTGGCTGGGGTCAGAGGTGATGTGCCTCGCGGCGAGTGTCCACTCATCGTGAAAGATTTGGGTAAAGGTTGTCAAGTCTGAGTTCCCAGATCTTCCATTTTGACGCATCATTTTCACCTGCTTCTGCTGCCTCTGAGTACACACAGCGTGTAGGATAGCAGCCACAGTCCTGGTGAGGATTCGAGGTGGCTCCAGGGGACCGTGGGTCAGGATGCCTCGACGGATCCAGAAAGCTTTCCATCTTGGTGTCCTGGGCCCAGACCCAGGCAGTGGAGCAGAGGTGGCAGCTGTCACCGAGGCTGCAGGTGAAAGACGTTCATCTGCTGGGACTCCTGGTCCCCTGGTGTCTCCCCAGATGCTGGGCATGGCTTGGAATCCTTGGGAATTGGGGGCAGCCTGTGAAGCAAGCTGGAGTGGAGGCATTTGACAGGGTGACACGACTTAAGGATGGTTTCCTCCGTTGCTTGCTGCCATTATTTCCCACGTGCCCCCAGCAGGTGCCGTGCGGCTGTGAGTTGTTGGAGGAGGGGCACATCATGAGAACAGGCCTGTTTGCTTCTTCTCTGGAAGACCCAGACGCTGGAATTGTTAGCTCCATCCAAAATTGCTGAACTCTTTTTAGCTGTCGCTGTACAGAATGTAGGTGTTTTTACCCCCTCAAACTCTGCTGCTTCCCCCACTTTATAGAGACCTCTGTTCTCTTCTTAGTCTTCACGTTCATAGTGAAAGTGGAGCTGGGCCTGGGTTTGCTAGGTGGCCTCCTTGTGTTGTCGGGGAGCTGCCTGGGAGAGTGGGGCCCAGCCCTGTCTCAGGGTCCATGAGAGGCCTCACTGTGACCACACAAACAAGAGAGGCACAGGTGCGGCTGTGTCTGGGCAGGCCAGGCCTTGTCTTGGAGTTTGGTTCTGCAGGTCTTCCATCTTTCTCTGCAATTTCTCTCATTATTAGGTGCAGCATTTGTGAATAATTCATTACGTGTGGGTCTCTCCCAGGTTTTCAGGAAGGGAAGGGTATCTGTCTTCCCCTGGGCTATGGCCAAGGACTGTTTCTCAGGTTCCCTGTTTACACAGAGGCTTCCTGCCCCTCCTGCATCTGGTGCCCTTGGGTTCCTCACAGAGCAACGTGCAAGGCAGAAGGTCCTTGTCTTGGTTGTCACCCAGATGAAGGGTGACCCACTCAGCTAAGGAGAGGCTTCTGCACCTGCTTCTTTCAGGTTCCAGTGGGGACTTGGAAGTTCCAGGAGTTGTGGGGGAGGGGTTGTAGGAAACAGACCCCTCGGCCGGTGCCGCAGCTCAATAGGCTAATCCTCTGCCTGTGGCGCCGGCACACCAGGTTCTAGTCCCGGTCAGGGTGCCGGATTCTATCCCGGTCGCTCCTCTTCCTGTCCAGCTCTCTGCTATGGCCTGGGAATGCAGTGGAGGATGGCCCAGGTCCTTGGGCCCG